ATTCGAGTAACCAGTGCATTCAATAGATATTACTGGTTATTTAAAAAGTAAAAGTACATAGTCTAACCACTGTAATGCTGAAAAAACGTTTTTCTAGAAATTTAGGTAGCAACACGTTCTAGATATAAGGAATGTTGTATGATCAGATGAGTACCTGTACCATATCACTAAATTAGATGTTTTATCGGTGCATTCGATTTAGAGACAATTTTGGCCACTAGTAAAATGTAAAACAAGCGTTCCGATTGTCCTACGACCAGTTATTCACTGAAATATTGGTAAGGTTTTCGATTCATGTTAAATAATCTACGTGCCAGTTACTCTGACCCTTAAAGACTGGTGGCTGAATTTACGACAACTAAGATCTAAGAGAAATACATATTTAAGATTTGCTAACAAGGAAGACATTTCAGTTATTCATGACTAAGTACTCTTCTCTAAACTCGTTTAACAATATAAAGACTAGATACAGCCAACAAACTGTTAAAAAATGAAATGTAGCAAACCATGACACTTAGTTCATATTTTCCTCTTTTTAACAATACAAGTTTATCGTACTCAGTGTTTATAGAGTGGTGTTGTCATTAATCGTACTCAGTAAAACTGATAGCTCTTTAAATCAGATTTCCGCAGATGAGATAAATCATTGAACTTATGGCTTGCCAAAGTAATACAAACAGAAACTAAATTTTTATTTACTTAAAAGTGTATTCTCAATTACACTGCACCATACAACATTTATTTAGTATGAAACCATACGAAATCATTATACGGTTGTCAATACTATCTTAAAAGAATTCCACCAAATGTTAATCTATAAAATAAGTAATAAAATGATTTATTTCAAATATAGAGGCTAATGCACTCTCAGGATAATATTTCAGAAAAAAGACACAAAATGGAAGTAGAAAATTCCTACTTAGCTGTGTATGCACAGTTATATCATAATATTCGCTTAAAATCAATGGTTTCGCTTTAGAGATCAAAACTTAATATCGGAGGCTGTGTACGAGTAATCCATGGAACCACAATTCCTTAGTCTTTCAATTTTTAATTGCCAATTTTAGTACTAGTGAATAAATGAATATTCTATCATAGTAGCCAGACATTTATTTTCTATATTGTCAGTGAATATTCAGCAATTAGTGGGGTAATTCTTCTAGACATAACGTGTTGTTTTTAATAACTGGATTTATTTATAATCAAAGTAACAAGAAAAAAACAAGAAATTTGATGTAGCAGTAAATTAACAAACCAAATGTTCCATTATGCATTATGGTTGTAAACAAGGTATAAAAGTCTTTAATATAGAATCCCATGTATAGAACAATAACTAAATTTTGTTTTATTTTCACTAATAACACGTTTACCTTTTCCCAAAATAATATTAAATGTATATTGACTAGTGTCAAAAATGAACAAATTTCATTTCCTAGCGGAATTTATTTTATACGAATTTCCTAGTCGCCAAAAGATCAATAATAGACGTAGGTTGTATTCAAAGTATAAATAGTCAATGCAAACCAATATCTAAATTGAGAAACACTGTATAACTCATTCACATTGATTCGCAACTCTAGTACAACAAGCACTGATGCTGTTGCTTGTTGTTGAGTTCAGTGAACTCAATTCTAGGTTGTAGCACAAAAGCGTTAAATATGGATGGTTTTAGACACTCTCTTTAGTCGAGAAACATGCAGCATCAATTTGAACAACAACATTGACATGGTCTATGGAAAGAGGAGTTTCATACATTATTGTATCGATGAAGTAAAATGTATTTATTTTTATCAATTTTCAGTGAAATACTAAGTAACTGTTAGAAAAACCCCTAGCAATTTCATTTTCCTTCAGAACTTGTATTGTAAATTACTGAACAATTTTCGCTTGACATAATTACAAAGTAACAAGTGAACTACATTTTTTTTCTTCTGATGTCAAAAAAAATAATGATTCAACTTTGTCTATTTACTGTATATCGATATGTATGTGCTTATCTGTTATCTCCAAATCAGTGTTAGTTGTAATGAAGTTTCGTACAGTTATTTTCGATAACCTGCTTGTCATTTTTAGTGCTTTGGTAGAACTGTCGGGAGTTAAAATAACTAAAACTAATCTAAATGATATATTTATTTTGTTCAAAAAATTAAAACTTTAAATAAGAATATAGTTTTGGGTCTAAAACTAATGCCTGATTACTAGTATCGATAATCTTTCTTCTCTTCAAAAAGGTTGTATTCTATGATTTTTTGTCTACAGAGTTTTGTCTGGTATGTGAACTTAAGATATTACTTAAAAGTATGTGTTATAGGAGTTGAAAGTACAACTTGAATTTAATTATGAAAGGCTGAACTACTGAAAAATGGGAATTAAAAAAAATGTTTCCCACGTAACGCGCTTAACCCATAAAACACACATGCGAGTTTTTAAACTAGGATTCGCTTTACATATTTAGACATCAACAATTTCTTCGAATATAAGTTTGTACATATGCATTATCGTTTTCAGGTTATAAAAACACTATAATCATTCAATACTGCGAAACATCATAATTAATTCCAGTAATTAAAGCATCCTGAATAATTGATCTATGCAATTTAGAAAATTAATATTTATTCATTTTTTTTTTGGATTTATGCATGATGTTTTCCTATTGATCAATGATTTCATCATTCACTAATTCCATATGAAAAGTTCTAAGGAGTTATACATGTTCATATACCAACTTTGAGACATTTTATTAATCTGCTTTATTTCCTTATATTTTTAGTAAAAAAACTTGGAGTATTGTTGTATTTTCTGGTCTAGATCGACAATAGGAGTCATGCATATCCTACTTACTACTCTTTTGACAATATAGATACTTACAGAAAATATCTCATATTTAATTGCTTCTAATCCATACTGAACTACCCTACACATTTACTTTAGATGATTTTTCTATATTTCTGAAATTTTTTTATAACCGTCTGTCAGTAACTATGCAGTTATCTATAGATAAGCCAACTTAAGTAAATAACTAAACTATCGGAGTTGACTAAATCAAAACATCACATATGTTTTTGTTCTTTTAAAATGAGTAGATATGATTTATTAAAGTGTTTAATGTCCACATTTACTTATTCATCACGTATATAATTAAAAATTAGCATACTTTATTTGTCCGAATACTTTTTGTAAATATTTCTCAATAACACACAACATATTTATTTAATGTGCTTAATTGATTTTCACCCATTAACATTGTTTTAGGACTGCAAAAACAGTTAAATAAAATATTTGGACATATATAATATTAGATATTCAAAAATTTAGTTAATTTTTGTCTTCAGTAGTGATAAATGTTATAACTTATGGCCTGTGTGCCCTGTTAATGTATAACATAATGATACAGCCAACTATAGAGCAGTGAATTATCGATCGGACCAATGATGCCTAAAACCCGTACGAGCAGTCTAGAGTACTTATCTGCCTTGCTTCCTGCCTAGCCCAGACGGTTAAGTTCAGAACACCAATCTCAGCCTCTGCAATATGAACCATTTATTCCAAAATTGCGGGGTTTATATTACTAATCAGACAGATCACATCGTACCATAAAATAAGAAACAACATTTGAACAAGATTTGGCCATATGTGGCTGTGAATGTGAGAGGTAGTGACTAATAGACAGGGCATAATTCAAGAATGGTAAATCGTATAATAATAGTTCATAGGTCAAAATCAAGCTCATGATAAGAGGGACATGAATATTAACAGTTTAGTTATTTAACAATTATATGATAAAAATATACGCATAGTATTGGTCCATAAATGGTTCCCGAAAGTTACCATTCATTATGCTTATCAGGACATAACAATGAGTCCATACAACTTCATGAACGGCAAATATGTAGTATATCAATATCTCGTATTTAAAAAAGCTTTTATGTGATAACTGAAAGGTCTGATTAGGAAACATACTCACTTGTCAGCAAAAGGAATAGAAAGAAAAACTAATGAAAGCAGCTAACACGGCCTTAAAGAATCAGTCAATTAATCTGAATGAAACAGCATTTTAGCCATGTAAATTTTTAATAATTTAATAGGTTAAAAGTAACGGGATGAGAAGTGCACATGTTATTTGAAAATCGTCAGCAACATAACCCGAAAATCGAGGACCACAACGTATCCTTGTTTAAAAAAGTTGGTAAAATCATGTAAATTAAAGTTCTAACTTGATCACTTGATAAGGTAACACATTTCAATTCTATATGATGCTGCACTAATAAAGTAGTTTCTTCCATAATTGTAGGTGAAACGAGAGAATTTATAAAATAGCTTACTGCTCGCATTCAAAATTTGTTTGCAATCTCAATTTACGTCATTCGTTTCCATCTATCGATCCCTGGGCGGTAACAAATGTTGTAATTATTTAGTCTTCATTTTCTAATTGAATGCTATCAACTAAATTAAATTATCCTCATGAGTTCAAGAATTGCAACAGTGTATACACTATGTTACTAGTAGGATACCACAGACCTAGGTTTCATATTAGTTTTCACTTGCCAGTAAGACGTTTTTGCAATCTGAAAAAAACTGATGTTCCTTGTAGCATTAAAACTCGCTCATTGGTAATGTGGTAAACCCTTTGAGCAATCCATCGGATAAGATATTTATATGTATATTCCTGTCGCAACAAACCGTTGAAAGGAGAAGCTTCTTACGGAATGTAACTTTCTCTGGTTTCTTGATCACTGCTCGTTAATAGTTCTGCAAGCGCTTTCCAGATAGCTTATTCGGATCGACATTAACTGTCGATTTAAAGTGAGTTTTTCCTTTAATTTGCTTTAATTCGGTACTATAATGCATCGAAATAAACTCACTTAGATTATACACAGATGAGATAACCTCTGTGGTTGGCAACTACTTTGATTTTAAAAAGAACGTGTCTAGCGAATTAATCATAAATAATAAAAAATCAGTTATTCTAATAGATTCCCTCTTTGTTCTTCTCTGTATACAGGAAGCTGATATGGCTGTAGCCGGATTTACAATAACATATGAACGTGAAAAACTGTGTTGATTTTAGTACACCGTGGATGACTTTGGGTGGGAGTATTTTATTTACAAGACCAAAAAGTCAAAAACCATCATTGTTTTCATTTCTTCAACCACTTTCACCACAAGTAAGCTAGTTTACTGGCTCGAACAATTAAGTTATTATACGTAATTTTAATTTATAGTAATTTTATTTCTGTGTCGTTTAAAAAACAAAGGTGTTCATTAACTATAGTTTCGTCTCAATTGATACTTGTTACCTGGGCGTGACTAAATCCCATTGTTGGTTTACACAGTAGAATTCGAACTGAGTACCTGTCACTTAAGACAAAGATTAACCGAATGAGTCCAAATAGCCGCTAACTTGTTTAATGGGTATAAAATTATTCATGAGGGTTTTAATTTAGCCAGTATTGACTTTCAAGATCAAAATGATTAATTCTCACTCCAACTTGACATAATTTTCTTACTACATTTAAACATCGAGATATCTGACTCGGGATGCAGATATTTTTGTGGGAATTGATCATCTATAGTCTAAAATGTCAACAACAGGAAAATATGAAGCTTAACAAATTAATGACCTACTGCCTAACTATTTAAAATTGATCACTACGAATTCACTGGGTGAAAATGCTTATTTAGAGTCCGTATCAACCATTCCAGCTGTTGTTTGCAAAACATGGGACATAAAATAAAGTATTGTATTGATAAACTAACATCTTATCTACTACTACTCTATTGCATGGTAGTAATTATCATGTTGATTTACCTTTAAAACTCTGTTTGCCAATATATTTCACGTACAATATTGTAGTTGCAAACATTCTTAGTTTATGTAGAACTGAATACCAGGATCTTTCTACTAGAAACATATTTGTTTGATATGCTTTAACATTAACCCCAACCATTTCGCATCACCGAACTTTTGTTGATTTTCAGGTATGGTTATACGTGGGTTTCACATATTTAGCTGTGTGTTTGTGCTTATTTGTTGCTGCCCGTCTTTCTCCACATGAATGGACAGCAACACATCCTTGTGAAGAAGGTGGCGATACAAGAAAAAATCAATTCACACTATTAAACAGCTTCTATTATAATGTATCTGCTTTACTGAATCAAGGTATCAGGTTTTATCTTACAATAATTTTGTTTTTTCCATTTGTAAATTGGTGATAAAAACAAAGATTTAACTGTTTCAACATGAAACAAATTCATTTGGAATTCTCCATTTAGCGAACCAAGAAGTTTATCACTTACGTGATAAACGAAAGTTGATTACTGTCATTTTACACAATATTGATTTAGTGTACTGTAATCCAATAATGGAATATTAATCATCTTATTGATATCAAAAATTGGCTTCAAATCAATTGCAACTGATACGAGGTTGTGTAATATTTTATCAGTAAATAATTTCGTCCCGTGATTAGAACCAACTGCAGATCTGAACTAATCTGTACGTACCACGCAAATAAACATTACCCACTGTTGACCTTCTGTATTTACGTTACTTGGTAAACGTGTCCATTTCATGGTTTAAGGTTTAATGCCATTAAATATGTCTTTCATTGAGATTTAATTAAACTAAACCTTAGCGCGAATGCATTCTCATAAATAATCCGACACTGAATTGTCTAGTAGCTATGTAATTTTATATGCGAACTTTAGTAACTTTTTCCATGTTTTAGTGTATTTATCATATGCAAAATGAATTATTTGACAAGTTTAAGGACATTACAGTTTTTAGACCACTGGAATATGATAAAGGTTTACAGTTGTTGCATTCTATCATGGCTTTATCATTAAGTTATCCAAGTTATAAAACCCATCATTACCTTCAGTGATAGTTTAAAAACCTGTTTAACATAAAAGTAAATTAAATTTTTGCATTATATTATACTTGCATAAAAATGTGGTAGTTTTGCGATTGAATTCATCATTCTTCTTTTGCCCACTAACGATGAAAATTACCGTGGAAGTAAAAATTTACTTTATAAGGTGTTGTGGAGGTTTTTAGATTTGAAGTTTCATATCACTGAATTAACCTCGTTATACAACCATTGAAAGTGAGTTAGCATTGGAAGCCTGCCTCACACTTGTAAAAACTTCTAGTCAGGTCATATCCATAACCAACAAGGGGTGGAACATAAAACCTTGGGCACTAAACCTTCCGATCACTGAGTTGCAGTCTAAGAATTTGCAGCCCCAACGTCAGTCAGGTTTTGATTATGCACAACCATCATTCATTTCCGTCGGTGATATTTCCCACATTTCCTTGTCAAACCAACTCGATGGTCTGAAGGTCTTATGTTCGTTTTCTCGTTGATCATGGACGTGCACTACTCAAAAGTCCTATGCTAAAATAAAATGCTATTCACTGTTTCTTGGTTTTTAACGGTATTTAAAACATAGTCTCACATCTTACATAACTGAAAGGTAGCTTTTTTGAGGTTTATCCAAATTTTGCTTACTCATACATTAGTATAGTATAGAGGTCAATCAAATTGTTAAAAGTTATTTCTTTATAAGCAAGGATCCGAAACAAATACGACACCGCTAATCTCAAGTTTTCTCAAAGTATTATGTATTTTTGAAATCTACAGTATTTTTCCTTCTTATTTATGATGCTGAGTGTGTAGAAATGTCATACGTTATCTCTATATTCAATGATGAGGCTTTCATTCAAGTTACTCTTCTTTGTTTGAAATCTAGGAACTGAACTTGCACCACACGCTACTTCAACACGATTGTTAACAGGAGTTTGGTGGTTTTTCGCCTTGATTATTATTGCTACATACACAGCTAATTTAGCTGCATTTTTGACAGTTGAAAATATGAAATCACCCATTGAAAGCGCCGAAGATTTAGCTAATCAAGAAAAAATTAAATACGGAACCTTGAAAAGTGGATCAAGCCGTGATTTTTTCAGAGTAAGCTATAATTTGCTACTATCTAACTAGAAAGGACAGATATTGATTGCGTTTTGTAAGAATGCATAAACAGTAAATAATGCATATAATAGGTTCTTACATAATTTTATATGGTGGTGATTTTGGATCTAACACGATGTTTTAAAATGCTCCACTTCATAGTTATATTTTAGTTCTTAGCCGTTGTAGTGGAATGTCGTCAAAAAGATGTGTTCTGAAAGTTTAAAAATTGAGAAAAACACGTTGCACGCTAAACAACGCTAAAACCATTCAAAATTAATATGTTTCTTAGTGTTTTGTAGAGATTCATTTAATTTCTTAGTGTAGCTCTTCACATAGTAATCTCAGTTGTTGTATCACTGAAAACCAGGTAGCGATGGATAGTTGTTGTGTCATAGTGCAAAGCATCTAGAAGGTATGTACCTACGACTGTGTCCAGAATTATCAGGTCTTACAGTCAATGCTTAAGCGTTGTTAGTCATGTGATATTGAGAAAAAACAGTTCTTAAAATTCATTTACAGTTAGATGTTTGAGAATACACTGTTGATTTATAGATGATTATGTTATCACATAAATATATTCGGAACTCTTCAATAGTTTATTTGTTATAATTTTTCGTTAACTTTCGAATAACTAGAATTGTGATATTTTGTAATAATTATGGGGGTAAGTCGGCAGGGTACCTTGAACGTGTGTTTCACACTAGTTGGTACGCAAGGTTTACCTGCAGTCTTATGGGAATCTTCATTACTCAGCTTCAAAATTTGAGCCGTTATCACTGCCTAGTAATTATTAGTCACAGTTGTGCTGTTCTACATGATAGATTTGAGGCGAATACTTCTTCCACTACTCTAATTTAGAATGCTCCCAACGCCTACAAAATATTCGTCTTATTTTATCACTTCCTTTGAGAAATACCTATCTAGTAAGGCAGTTTGCATATTATATTGTTTTCATCAACAGACCTCATCTTTACCAACGTTTAAGAAAATGGGTGAATTCATGGACAAATATCCAGATGCTACTGTATCAACCACTCAAGAGGGGATTGAACGTGTTCTACAAGGTAATTATGCCTTCATTTTAGAATCAACCTGGAATGAATATTATGCTCAGAGAGATTGTCGTCTAACGCAAGTTGGAACATTGCTTGATTCTAAAGGTTATGGGATCGGATTTCCACAAGGTAAGTGTTTTGGAATGTGTTCTTCACATTGTCTTTCTGTCATTTGAAAATTAGACCAAGGGGAGATTGAAATAAATTTAATGTGTAGGGATGCTTGAAATGTTATTTTTGATCATATTTTCAAAAGTTTCAGTTTAAACCACGCTACACACATTATGTCAAACTCGTTAAAAGTAATGCAGAAGAAGAAATTTTCGACTTCTTAGTACATTGGTAACGATATCAATCTCTACAAGTGTTTGAATTCTATCGTCAGTTTTACGGATCGATGTTAGTGGTATTTTTCTGCAATCAAGATATCTTCAGACGGTTTCGAACAAAATCGCTTTGAGGTTACTTTTCAGAAAGTTAAGTGCTGACAGTTTTCTTAAATATCACTTTAAAAATTTTCAGGACACTTTTTGTGCTATTATAATCTAATAGTGAAATATGGTTCTTTCAGTCCTACAGACGTTATTCCATCATAGCTATCATTGAGTTCTGAGATTGAGGATTCAACATACTTTCACTGAATCAATATATGACATAAGTAAACTGTTGATTGGTTTGAGTCCCTTTACTCCTGATATCTCACCTGCTTCCATACAAAGTATGGTTTTTTAACACTGGCTATAAGCAACAATGACTACTGGTATACTAATGAGTAGTCGTGTTAAGCTAGTTTTGATGTCATATGATATTTTAAGCAAACGCCTAAAGATCACACAGCCTAGTGGTTTCCAGCATTATCATGAACGTTTCAGATTAGAACGATGTGGTTCTATTATGAATCTTTGGAAATTTCCATACTATAGTGCGATCAAATACGTGCTGATTATATTCTCATTTGAAAACATGATCTTTGAGATTCATTTTTGATATTATGTTTTCGCTCTTTTTTCATTTACAACTGCAATAGTCTGCAAACACTTCTCTTTTACACATAAGTAAATGAAACTACTTCACAATGATATACTAAATGAGAATCCTTGTGCATAGAAAGTTTGGTACGAGGCTATAAAAAATATCTTCATTTCAAACTTGGTGCAGATATGGCGGGATGTGGTAATCATACCGAAGATTTGATTGCATAGGTGGTCAAATGTGCTACATCTTTACTATCTGTTTGTGGAAATCGTATAAAAGAAATTCTAAACAATGAAGACTAAGTTTTTTTGAGTCAGGAAACGGAAGACGTTTTCATTAAAATATCTGTCCATTTCAGATAGTATGAAATCATCATAGCTAATTTACTATCAACGTTTAAGACTAACTGATGAAAAAAGAGGTTTAGAAAGTGTTGTAAAGGAATTTTATGGAACCTTAAAAATAAATAAAACGGATGAGACAACGGTAATGAGAGTTAACATTAAGAAACATCCTAATAGAGTTTTGATGTGATATGAGATATATATGTATATTAATTCTAATTACAAAAGGATGCTACCTGAAGTTTTAAATTACAGCGTGTTGTTGCTTCACAAATCGTTAATCACAACTTCATTTTCTCACAAACTCGATATATGAGCACTATTTTTATAGTTCCATCAAGATAAGTCAAAAGATCAATGTTGAGAAGTTGTTTATCAACATAGTTATAGGATGTTTGTACTTTTCCCACCACTACGACTGTTGTATAATAAGTGCAATCCAACTGAAGAAATGAAAATACTCAGTTTACCATACTTCGCCCAATTTTAATTAACCGAAATAAGCTTTGATTCTTTTCTATTACACATTCATCATCTGCTTTTATCCATTTGGTTAACTATAATTTTAAGGTTCACCATGGAGGGATCCCGTATCGAAATCAATTTTAAAATTACAGAATGCTCAAATTCTGGCAAAATTAAAACGTATTTGGTGGAATGAATTTAATATCACGGAACCATGTTCTTTATTACGTGAATCAGGTAAAGCTCCAAGTCCATTGGGTGTAGAACAAGTTGGTGGTGTATTTATTGTCTTACTGATTGGATTTTTTATGGGATTCGCCGTATCGATTATTGAATTTTTAGTTGCAACAAGAGATCAGCAAAAGGTAATCCATCTATTTGTGATGTACTAGAGTCCTGAAATATTTATACAAAGCATTTATTAGTTAATTCTGTCATAGTATTTCCATAGCAGTGTACTATACCATCTCTTATTTCTCCATGAAGCATAATCTAGGTACTTTCGCAAGTTCGACTACTAGAATTTCGATACGAAAATAATCAAAAGGCATTTTCTCATAGAAATTACTATATTAATTGAAATCTTTATTTCGATATGATGACGATGTCATCCGTATAGAATGAGAATCCAGGAGAATCTTGGGATACATTTTCTAAATTTAAATATAGGCGTTTGAAGGTTTCCTTCTGATTTAGATGAAAACTAAAGGAATAAAAATAGCAGATATTCTGTGATTGTACACAATCCAGTGTATGGAGTCGTAATTCTTTCATAGACTAAATGATAGAAAGTCAGCCTAGTGTTTCGTGACTCCCAACAATATTCAGCAAACTGAAATATGCACAAATAATCATAAGCCCTACTTGTATTGTCCACATGCTACTTTAAAAATCAACGCTATTACTATGAAAGGATGAAATTACTATTGATGATTCCAATATATGGCATTAAGACGCACCATCACCAAATTTCCAATACTATCTAAATTTCAAACATGGCGCCATAAACGTCCACCTAAACGTTAATCACTAACTTCTTTATTCAGAGACTAAGTGCTTGGATGTTTAAAGATATATGATTATCTTTTGATTTTGTTGTTTGTGAAATCCATTAAACCAATGCTGGAACATTATTATTTATAGACTAATAAACCTTCATTTTCAATTTTAGACAGCTGTTTGGCGTGGAATGTGGAAGGAGTTGAAATTCGCTACACGATGTTTAACGACATCACGTCGATTAAGATCAGACATTCCTAAATTATCTAGATCCCGTTCAAGTAATCGACTTATATCATCTGTACCAAATAATTTAAGTGCAATAAATAATTCGCCAAATTCATTCGGTTTCAGCGAAAATCATAATAACAATATAAAGCTAAATAATAATACTAATGTCAGTAAGAATATTCATATGAGTGGAATCAATTCAAAAATTGAACAAGATACATCTAGAGACCAATTGTTAATTTCCGAATCCAGACCTTTTACTTATGAACAGCAGAATCAGCAAAATCAAGAAGGAACTTATCGAACAGATCAGAAAAGTGCAAGTCTACAATGTCCTAGTTCATTCGATCAAAGTGATATATCTGCAGGAATATCAAGTGATCCACAGCCTCAAACCTACAACGCGCGTCAACAACAACACCATCTTGCATATAACATCCAGTCACAGCAACATCACCCATATATACATAATGAAACTGATATTAAGCGTTTTACGATGCCACAAACTGTAGTTCGATCAAATTTCAACGTTGGAATGACTAATATGAATGGAGATTCCGAACTATGGCAAATAAACCAACAGAAATAATTTCAATTTGAAAAGAAATTACTTGACGCGCGACTTTTAAAAATGTTTTCAACACTGTTTAGTTTATGCCTTAATTTATTGGAAATCTGAATCACTCTAAGGCTTGAAATTATCTACGTTACGTTTAAGAAAGCAAAAAGTTTTAATTGGAAAATCCCTTTCAGTTTCATATAAAATGTTAGTAATAATTTTATTCAACTTATGTAACCTCTTTTTGTAATGTTGGATTTTGAAAAAATAGTTGAATTGATTTGTTCAGTTCAGAACTACGAATTATATAAAGTGAATATAAGCAAATAATGTAAAATATAAAGTTTCATTTCTCCAAATGAAGTTTGTCAATAGCACAGATTGACTAGATCAAATGTCGCATACAATTTATACTATAAACAGATATTATTCAACGAATTACTGAACTTCGTCAACATTAACTTTGATGAGAAATAATCAAAATTGAGCCAAAAGTGGTTTATTTGTCAGAAAGTGTAGTTTTTCATGATACATTAGGGTTCAAATTTGATTACTAACATTATTTTCATTTTAAATAATTTCATAATAATAAAAAGAACGAATAGTTTTCCTTGAATCAATTCTCACTAGGTTCTACAGTAACAAACTCAAATTATTGATCAAAATGAAACATTCAAATTCAAAACTAATTCACCGCTTAAATGATTTTAGGGTTGACATTAAAATAATTATGTTAGTAAGCGTTTGTAAATATTGTATACGATTGTAAGTCGATTACAATTCTGAGATTAAAAATTTGGATGAATGTAAATTACGTGATGGGATAGAAAACATACATTAATTACGAACACAATCAATTATTTGCCCAACTATTACGTAAACTATAAAATAATGTGAATTAAGTAGGATGGGGTAAATATCAAATAAATTGTTCATATGTTTAAGGCAACATACAATAACAATTAGATCAAATCAATTGAATCCATGAAAATATGTTTGTATTTACATTAGTCGAATTCACTCATCCTATAAATGGGATAATTATTGGCTTATTCAGTCTAAGGCTAACCAAGTTAAGGGAAGATGATAAGCGAGCTTCTTTTAGTGTAAGTAGATTTGAAAATGTCTTGTTATTCATCTTAGTGGTACGTAAGGAACTAGGAAAGCAAAATTGTAATTATTAAATATACAAGAACATCATTTAATGCATTAAAGACAACTCCAAGACTCAATAGTAATATCAAATCACTAAGTCTAATAAATTCAATAAAATAACTACTTATGCTTCATCAGCTTATAAATTTCTTAGTACTTGAATTTTATAGGGTTACAACTCTTTCTTATGGGGAAGTATATATTTTTTTGTGTTTTTATGCACTACTCTTAGACAATATATCTACTCATTAAACACGAAAATGCGGTACTATGAGATGGATTAATTAATGAAACATTACGTTAAGTGGACCAAAGTACTAATGTACTTTTATACAGATGTGTTTCTAGTCCTGCCTGTCAATACGTCAGTCGATTGTTACTGGTCTTTTCACTCTTAGTATTCACTAACTTTCCAACGTGATAAAGGATTCTAACTGCACTTCACAAATAATTGAAACTTAGAATTGAAAATAGTTAAAGGATCACTGAAAACCAGTAAACATTTTACAGTTGCCTAGTCTTTACATATTCGTTAGCATTCATATACGTTCATATAAGTTAATATCATGAATCGTTTGGAAACCGGGACATATACTACTGAGTTGGAATTCAGTGATTTATGTGTCCAGTTTTCGGGTTACTTTAAAATGAATAACTTTTTTCAAAAAGACAAACATTTGTCGATTTATTAATTTAACATAAAGTGCGTAACAAGAGATCCAAACCTTTCAAGTCATGAAACGTTATCATTTTCTGATCGAAAGTGGAAAAGCCTATCATGTCCTCTAAGTTTAATCACGTTTTCATTTGCTTCAAAATTCAATAGCATTTTAGAGAAAATAAATAAACAAACCACTGAACCTATTTACTTAGAAACTAATGGGAATTTTCAAATGTATTATATTAAGTGGCTTTTTAATACTTTATATAAATGAATGAAAACATTCTCAATTTCAAGATTTATTATGGTTATTGGTTATGAAGGAATATTGTTCTATAAATTCTGACATATCAACAGTCAATAATATGAACTATTAGTAAAATAAACTATCGTGATAATGACCTACAAAACCGTCGTTATCAAATATCACGGAATATAGTGAAGAAAGAATAATCATTCTTTCAGTCTTTGAATACGTATATAAATGTATATATTTCTTGGTAATTGTAATTGACGAATCACAGATGAACAAGATTTTCGTTACCGAATCACAATTTTTATTCTCTATTCAACGTTTCCTCAAAACACTAATCCATATGATAATGAAAAGGATTAGTAGCTAAATCAAAAATATCCCTTTTAGAATTATCATATCTTGTTCGCTTTTAAATAACACAATTAAGTCGAATTTATTTATAGAAATCATGAATAGAATATTTATGCGAATAGTTTCAATTACGTTTTCTACATAACAAAATTCAATACAGCTTTCATCAACACAGACCAAATTACTTTTCGGGCATTATTTTAAATGTTATCCATAGAGGTAACTAGATTATTATGCCATGAAATTTAATAATAATTTTAATCTAACTTCATCAAACCCAATCCACTCTGTTTATTTACCACTAAAAGTTTTGGTTATTACATGAGATTTACATATGTTTCTTACTAAACTAATCAATGTATATTCATCCTACGTTTCTATTTGAACCGCATTAATTTAACTCCTTTGTTTACATATTTCTGCATTATTCAGCAATGTTTACTCATCATATGTGATTCAAGTGTGATGTGGGTAGACCGCCGAACCAAAGAAATGATTTTGAGTTAGTAGCTTAAAAATTCAGCAGACTTATTTCTTCAATAAATAATTGTTTATAGATAACTCAAATGTGTAAGATGTTTTAATAAAAATGGAAACTCATAATTAAAATGTTTCAAATCTACGAACTAAAAATAACTCATGATGGTTAAATCTCCTATTCAATGATTAAGATGCACTTTTACTACTTTATCACTGATTTTAAAGGCTAGTGATAGTTTCGGCTTGACTCGTTTCAAATAATTATTAACTTTTGTTTCATTTCATGTGTACAAACACAACGGATAGGTAACAATCCTTACAAACGCGCTTTTTGATATTTAAATAATAAAAGCTTTTCTTCAATGAAAGATTTAAGATAAATCCTAGTGAATGATAAATATTATCTTTGCAAAAACCACCTTATTACTGGAACGTAAAATAAACGAATCAATCCTCATTTGACCTATCCAGGTCTTATATTCGAACAAATTGTTTTCAGATGAGTAAATATTTGATTGTATGACTACTGTCAAAGAAAGATGCTTCGAAAAACTATGTAAATCTAGTGAAATATCATGACACTAGCCAATTCATCCGGCAGTCAGATCACTGAATATCGAACAGGTCGAGGATATCCGACGCACATCAATCAATTTTACATACCATGAAGTGGCATATGTGTCAGCGGTCTCACTCTGTTTCATGTATCTGCTCTTGCTAATATATTTCTGTTATAATGTTAATTGTGTTGTACGGTCATCAAAGCATTCATAGTACCGCGATACGGTAAAACGGTAATTCCAGTTAGGTAATAACCGTGAAGTGTGACTTCGAGTAAGCTGGTTGGTCACACCATTTCTATTCAATTCAAATAGGCTTTCAATCATTGACACGGATCACCGATGTTGTCTATCTACAATTACCTAGCTTTTATTTTGCGGAATGATTTGCTTCTTTGATAAACACCATGTATGAAATGTTCTAAAATGTTCTTCTGAAACGAGTTAAATTTTACGACAACCACATAAAATTTCTCAGAGTTGAAGAATCGCTTCAAAATTCAACTAACAGAATAATTCTAATGTTCTATATTTGGGATGTTTACTCCTTAGTAGTTAAGAATGAGAGACTATAGTCCTTTATTCGTTTATGAATCTGTTAGTCAAGTTTCAATACACTTATTATAACGGGCCATGGACAATAATTTGAAATTGGCCTAAACGTTGGTGAAATCATTGAGTAACTAGCAACTTTCTACATTTCTTAAGTGAAACTAACGAGTGAGTAATATCTTGATATTTTTTATATATTTCCAATCTTTCCTTTGTTTGTTTTAAAAGACACACTAGTCAAAACATTGATTCACTAAAAAGAAGGAAATTAATTTCATTGAAAGAAACTGTTTTAATTGAAAATTTATTGGCGCCAATAAAAAGGTTTTTATCAGCATCGCGTTGTCATAAAATATTATTAATGACAGGGCAGTAAAACTCCATGAGAAACAATTATGAAAAAATTAAACCAAAAATAATGAATACTACGTCAGAACTGTATTGAACTGAAAATCATTCCAATTGTAGACAATAAATTCGCTTCATTTGTGAGATAGACACCAAACTTTATTAGAATCATAACACTCAATGAATGTAGTTTGAGTTCTACATTATACTTTTTTAACTAAAAGTTTTCTATATTTTTTAGCTTCAGCCAAAATATTCAATAATGCAATAACGGTGAGAGAAATCTACTTTTATCTGATGACTAGGTTACATTTATATGTCACCCTTTTCATCATACGTTGACGATTATTTATTGATAACACACTGCGCTGTTGCTTTTACGGTTAAATGTGATTTTTTGTTTTATAGACGTTTTCCTAGCCGATGAATAAAAATACTGGTTAACTCTTTTATAAATGAATCTGGTACTGGAGAGTTTTACAACATAAAACAACAAACAAACTTGACAATATATTTCGATGATTATTTTGCGAAAAATATCCACAGCAGTCATCTTTATGTTTACAGCTCGCACTAATTCATAAAGTAATTGAAGTCTCATTTGGTTATATAAGGCAGTGGTTCACTGTTATTCTTTCAACTTGTTATGGCGTAAATTGAAGTTAAGCTGCTTGATTTAAGTATTAGTCAAAAACTTGACGCTTATTCACTGCATTAGTCCTTCCTTAAATTAGTAAGCCCTTGATAAAACCAATGCTTCTAATAGAAGTACTGTTGAAGCACTAAACAAATTCAAGTAGTTTCAGTAGGAGAAATACACAAAGACATTCGAAGTCCCTAGGCGGTCCCATCTAAACTTTGAAACAATATTTCTGACAAACTTTTTAAATGCATATGTAATATTATAGTGTTTCAAAAATTATACAGACATGTTGTGGCTTAAGTTATATTCAAAGCGAATTCTAGCATTCCTGTAGAAGAGAATTTTTATTTAGCAATCAGATCTTTGCATGAAACCCTAACAAGTAATTCGACTGAAATGTTATCGTAATTTCAAATGATTGTATTTCTACAATATGATCTTTAGTTTTCAGGGAGCGTAAAGTCAACGTCGTCAATTTACTCGTAATAACCAGAACTGTTCAGTCGCCTAGTGGGAAATCATGCTGATCTTTTTAAATGCTATCCTGTTTTATATCCAATACATTTCCAAATAAATAACCGTTCACCTATCTGACAAAT